GCGATATGCTCAGACCGTGCTTTCAAGTCACCTGCAAGCAAAAGTCAAGCCTGGATGTTGGCTGCGACTCGTCACCACTGTCATCGCCTGCAAGACACGCGTTCTGCTTGCGCATTGTCTGTGTATATTGACCATGCTGAGGGAGGATCCATGTCCACAAGGCCAATGGACAAGCAGGATGACGGCAGTAACGGCAAGGAAGATGGCCGCAACAGCCTCCAAAGCTCAAGCCTATGGGCACAGCTCGCTTCAAGCTATGGATGCAAAGCCCAATCAAAGAGGTCAGCATCTGGGTGCTCTCGCAGGAAGCAGCAACTGTGGATTCGTCAGGAAGGCATTCAGCGAGAAATCCTGAGCGGCAAAGCCCCTTCACAAGAACAAGGAACTTGACACATGCGCCCTTGCGCAAGCTCAAATCCACGCTGTCCTGGTTCGCATGCAGCTCGGTCGCCGTCTGCTGGACCAAGGAATTCCCGCTCCGCAGCCCGAGCTGACAGCTGGGGACGATCGGCAAAAATATGACGCAGATGCATGAAAGTTGATAGAATAGTTCCCTGTGCTACTATTTCAGAAACCAATGCGGCGTCACACATGCGCATGTGACATGAATGAGAAGACCTGGCCGGAAACCCCTGCTCCGGATGGCTATGTTTGCACAAAGGCACAGCGCTGGCCTGGAAGCCTTGCTCTATGGACGGATCTAAGAGGAAGCCATCATCAGACTCGCGGAAGGTGTCTTGACCGGCAATCTGTTTCCAGGATTGCCGCGTAGGCTGCATATCCAGCCTACGCGCAAAACCATTTATTGTGGTCAATCACGCACGTCCTGCTTGCCCCATGCCAAAACCTGCCTGAGCTCACAGTAGCAGCAGCCAAAACCCAATGACGTTTGGCCCTACTATTTCCACCGCAAAACCCAGTGGGGCCAATGAGGGTTTTGGGCGCTGCTCGCATATGTCTGACCCTGACACATAAGGCCAGCGCTGGCGCTGCACCCATTCCCGGAGCTGGCCGTAACATTCTCAATGCCGTACAGCGAAGCATGTCCGACTGAACAAACATTCATATATGATTTTGCTCTGACCGTGCCGTTCACGGGCCAATCAACAATTTTTGTTGCGACAGCGTAGTGCCATCGGAGGTGCCTGGCCATCTGTGCAGGAAGCTGAGGGCGTCATGCACGAGCTGAGCGCCTGCCACAAAGCCGGAAATTGAGCGACCTTTGGTTGGTTTCTCGCATCTTCTCGGCTGTTGGCATGCCAGAAGCACAGAGCCAGGTTCTACTCGTTCTGTTGGCGCAGGGCTGATCGGTGCAGGAGCGCTGCCAAAGCTCCTGGCAGGCGTGAGGAATCAAGTCTCAATTTGTCGGTAGAATCTTCAGAAATAGAATTCCTAGATGGTCCCAGCCCAGGGCCCAGCCAGGAACTAGAATTGAATTCTAAAAATTCTCACAATTCTAGATTTCAGGGGTTCGATTTTAGAAGTTTTAGAATTCTAGATGATCCCAGCCCAGGAGGGTCCCGGCCAAGAACCTTGAATAATAATAATAAAACGGACCCCGAAATTTGGATTTGTTTAAAGCTTGTAGAATTCTAGATGGTCCCGGGCCGGGCCAGGACCCTGATTTGTAGAATTCTGGATTTTATATTGTTTTAGATTTTTTCAACATAGAAAAAGAAATCGGACCCCAAAAAAATAGTTTTCTAATTGGTTTAGAGTTCCAGGACCCTTGATTTTTAGAATGGTGCGGATTTGTTTAAGGTTGCATTCTAAAACTTCCCAAAAAAGACTCAAAAAAAGTGTAAACATCCTGGGCTGGGACCATCTAGAATTCTAAAATTCTAAAAATTCTAAATTACGAGGTCTGTGTTTGTTTGTTTTTTGTGAATTCAATTCAAATGCGAATTCAAAAAAAATGCTACAAATCAAGGATCCTGGCTGGGCCCCTCCTGGGCTGGAACCATCCAGAATTCCAAAAAAAATAAATGAAGAAGTGTTAGAATTTGAAATTTCCAACATTATAAATTTCCGGGGTCCGCTTTCTGGAATTTGTTGAGAAAACAAAAAAAAACAAGGGTCCTGGCCGAGCCCCTCCTGGGCTGAGACCATCTACAATTCTACAAATTCTAAGAATTCTATTCTTAGAATTGAAGTCTAAAAAAATAAAAATTCCAAATTTAGGGGATCCGATTTCTGGAATTTCTAGATTTTGCAGAATTCAATTCTGAAAACTCTAAATATTCTAAACATCAAGGGTCCTGGCCGGGCCCATCCTGGGCTGGGACCATCTAGCACTCTAAAAATTCAGCATTCAATTCTAAAAAATCTAAAATTTGATTCTGTTTATTCAATTCTCAAAATTGTAAATACTCCAAACATCAAGGTCCTGGCCGGGCCCCTCCTGGGCCGGGACCATCTAGAACTCTAAAAATTCTAAATTTTAGAATGTGTAGACTTTTTAGAATTCAATTCTACAAAATCGAAAAAATATAAATTTCGAGGGTCCAACTTCTTGAATTTGTAGATGTTTTAGAATTAAATTATCAAAATTCAAAATATTCTAAACATCAAGGGTCCTGGCCGGGCCCCTCCTGGGCCGGGACCATCTAGAACTCTAAAAATTCTAATTTTTTGGGGGTCTGTTTTTCAGAATGTGTAGACTTTTTAGAATTCAATTCTACAAAACCGAAAAACAAAAAAAAACCGAGGGTCCGACTTCTTGAATTTGTAGATGTTTTAGAATTAAATTATCAAAATTCAAAATATTCTAAACATCAAGGGTCCTGGCCGGGCCCCTCCTGGGCCGGGACCATCTAGAACTCTAAAAATTCAAAATTGTTGGGGGTCTGTTTTTCAGAATGTGTAGACTTTTTAGAATTCAATTCTACAAAACCGAAAAACAAAAACAAAAAACCGAGGGTCCAATTTCTTGAATTTGTAGACTTTTTAGAATTCAATTATCAAAAGTCAATATATTCTACACATCAAGGGTCCTGGCCGGGCCCCTCCTGGGCTGGGACCATCTAGCACTCAAAAAATCAGCATTCAATTCTACAAAATCTGAAATTCGAATTGTTTAATTCAATTCTCAAAATTGTAACTATTCCAAACATCAAGGGTCCTGGCCGGGCCCCTCCTGGGCTGGGACCATCTAGAACTCTAAACATTCTAAATGTTGGGTCCTTTTTTGAGAATTCAATTCTATAAATTCTAAATATTCTAAACATCAAGGGTCCTGTCCAATTTCTTGAATTTGTAGAGTTTTCTTATTATTTGTTTAATAAATTCTAAAAAATCTAACAATTTGGGGGTCTGTATCTAAACATTCTAAATTTGGGGGGGGGTCCGATTTCTAGAATTTGTAGATTTACTCTGAATATTCTAAACATCAAGGGTCCTGACCGGGCCCTCCTGGGCTGGGACCATCTAGAACTCTAAAAAAAACCAAATTTTGGGGGGTCTGTATTTTGAGAATTTGTACTTTTTAGAATTCAATTCTACAAAATCAAATCTAAAAATTCTACATTTCGGGGGTCCGATTTTTAGAACTTTTAGAATTGGCCGGGCCCCTCCGAGTCCTGGCCGGGCCCCTCCTTGGCTGGGACCATTTAGAATTCTACAAAATTAAAAATTATAAATACCTAACCTCTGAAATGTTGATTTGTGTATTCCTTCCGTAGTCTTTCCGAATTCGTTCCCGTAGTATTTGAGTCTCCTGCAGACTACTGATTTTGTGTTTTCGTAGTGTCCCCTCGGGTGAGGTGTAGCTTTTCGCTCAGTGCTGTTTTTCTACTCTGGGGCTGGTCCCCTGGTTGGTCGGTCGGTCGGTCGGTTGCATACTAAGAAAGCAGGCCTGTAATGTCGGCGGCCTGAGCCGGAGGCGTTGAAATTGTCGGTTCAAACAGCCCCCTTCCCGGCATCCTGGTTCAGAGGCACGCCAAAAAACGAGCGAATCAAAGCATCAGTCAGTACACGACAATC